CTGTATTTCTTTCTTGTCTTCTCTGGCTGTGCAGGGGAGGCGTTTGAGCCTCACTAATGACCAGACACTGTATAAACAGGGGCCAACTCGAGGCAGTTCGTTAAGAAAATAGGGGAGACAGAGCATTAAAGCTCATGCCTTGCTAACACAATAATGAAGCAGTTAGAAGGGTTTATCTTCACTCACAGCTTAACATATGGTTTGAGTTCCCACCTGAGCCCAGGCCCTGCTGATCCATGGGGCTCCAGCCCAGTGAGCCACATCACACCCTGCCCGGAGAGGTGAGAGGGAGGACACGGGTTTGAATGAAGGTGCTTCCCAGCCCAGCACCAGGGGCAGGGGGAGCTGGGAGCTGTGACCCCAGGGCTGTGGCAGCTCTGGGCTCACACAGCTGGAGCAGAGGGGCAGTTACAGCAGTGGAGCTGCAGAAAGAGGAGTGCAGGAGTCAATATTCATCCATATATTCATGCTCTGTAGGCTCGAGTGCTGTGATGCTCATTATCTAGGCATGACCTTAAAACTGCAGTTGATTGAGAACACGGCAGCCCATCTGCTTGGCAACACGGGCTGCTGGGGGCCTCACCCCAGCACTGCTCCCTGCACTGCTGCTCTGCTCTTTGTCTGAACACAGAGCCCAGGGCACAGGCTTGCCCCCCAAACCCTCTGCTGGGGCTGAGACGGGGCATTCACAACTCTCCCTCTCCCAGGAGCACAGTGAGGGATGTCTGTGTGTACAGCACACGGAGCTTACTCCATGTCCCAGCTCCAGCTCTGTACAGAAAACTTCCTCCTTCTCCTTTTTGCCCCAAAATAAGCAGCAACTACAATCCTGAGTGCCTGAAAAACTCTATCTGCCACCTGCCCCTCCACAGAGCTCATGCCACGAGCTCCCTCCGGTTGGGGTGGTGGCAGTGCCACCCAACAGCTCAGCAGGGCCAGCTGGATGTAACAAGGACAGTGTGCTAAGGCCAGTGCCGAGGTGTTCCCTCCACTGGGGTGAAACACCTCTCCTCTCTGTACAGGAGAATGAGCAAATTCATGAATGAAAACTCACAATTTCCTGCTCTGTGAGGAGAGGACAACAGGCCTCTTCCCCTTTTTCTGTACCACCCCGACCTGGTTCCAAGTGACCAAAAGAATGAATGAGAACTGTCTGCTGCCACCTCATCATTTCAAACACACAGCCACCAGGAAAGAGGAAACAATGTTCAGTGTTCTCTCCATGTGAAAAATCCTTCTGCTCCTTCCTCCAGACACCTTCCTAAGCCTGTTTTTGAGCATCTCTCTTTCTTTAAAAGCAAACGCGTCTTTCTTCTAAGCAATTAAACTCTATAAAAAAGGCCATTTTCCCCATCATAGTTTCCCATCTCCCCTTTCCTGGATGGCAATCCCATACTCCAGATCTCACGCTGGGGAGGTTATTCTGCCACTGGTCACATCTGGTTCCCTGATGAGATCCGCAGGCGGCCGGGCTGGAGCGCTGCCGGGGTCCCGTGGCAGCCCAGGTTGCCTTATCTTCCCCCAGACCAGCACTATCTAAGCCCCTTGGTTGTGTTCCTCCCCTCCCTCAGCACACTCACAGTTAGAGACTGAACTGCTGCACAAACGCTCATGAGCTCAGTCCACAGGTCTTAACTGCATTAAGAAAGAGGCATTTCTGGGAGCAGCGTGGTGGAGAGACTCTGCCTTTCCCCCCGTTCCGTGCTGGAATGCATTCCTGCAGCATTAACACCTCCCCCGGGACCCCAACCCTGCCCAAAGCTGAGGCTGGGGCTGTGCCTGCCCCGGGGGGGTGAGGGGCTGCCTGCCACACACAGCACCACGGCCTGCCCTCCAGCTCCTGCTGCCAGACACCCTCCTCAGACACCACCCTCTGCCTCTGAGGAAGAGGCTTATTTTTTGAGGGCTTTTTGGTTGCCTTTTTCCCCCCATGAAAATCCCTTCTAGCAGAGTCTGCTCCGTGTGTGCTATTAAGAATGGAAAATAAATAAGTCGATAGGCATATATTAAGTCAGTAGGGCCAGGAATTCATCGATAACAGACTGAGGATGAAGGATACAGTGACAGTTGCATTTAGTTCTCAGAATAAAGTAAATCAATCAAATTGACTGCATGTTGATTTAAAATCCTTAAAGATTTGGGTCAAGATCGTTCTAGTTTTCCCAAAACGGACTTGTTACTGGGAATCCTCATACCACAAGTAGTGCAGGAATGCTTCTGCTCAATTTTCTCAGCCCCCATGGATATTCTGTGCTGGCTCCCCGTGCCTGGCTCTGTTGGAACAATTAACACAGAGTGGCCCCGCTCCCCTGGGTCAGCGCTACCACCCGGGCTGTGAACAGTGCTGGGTGTTCTCCAGCCACATCAGTACTGGCCATAAACGCTTTAGAGGCATAAAAGGCTATTTCTTCTTATTTTTGGTTAAAAATCAGGTTATTTAAGATACTGTTATTTATGTACTTCTCCGTTCCTCCCGGCCTGAAGTAACTACTAACGACCCCTTTGGACAGTTGTATCGGTGGGATTTCAAGTCTTGTGGGTTAAAATGTACATCAACCCATCCTTGACCTGTATAAAATAATTAACTGGCTAAATGGAGTGGGTAGCAGGGTCTGTGAATGATGCAACCCTCATTTAGATGAGTGTATATAAAATACATTCCTTACAATTCGGGAGACTTGATCTGTGGCTTTTCTCACAGGGACAGAAACGAGGAAGGAATAAACATCTTCTGAAAGTTCTCACTTGAGGGGCTGTTTCGAAGAGAATTTCACACAGAACCATAGCACAGATATGAAAGAAAGTCTATTTCTGTCAAGATTTAATTGAGGAAATTTAATTTTCTTTCTTAACTGAATTGCTGTTGATAATTTAAATTAATTCTGTCTGGTCTGTCTAATTTAGCCATGAAAAACCTGGATCTTGGAGCTGAGCACAAGAACGTAGCAGATTTTTAAAAACAGCTTTTCTGAATAGAAAGACGGTAATTTATGGCAGCCTAACAAAATATATTTTTTGGTTGCTGTTTTGATGTAAAGCACTTAAATTCTTCTACCTCAATCCACTGACATTCTCATTTTAAGAGAAAGAAATGCATTTTTGCAAATGGCACATCAACAGACCTTGGGAAAACTGAGTTTGGAGAAAAAGAATGGAATTAATTTTGTTTCTCTAAGCGCTTTCCCATGTTTCAGATTTTGTACTGATAGATTGATGATATGATTTGCTTTAAAACCAGGTGGCCTCTTAGTTTCCATCTGTTGTGTCTATTGCTCTGTCTCTAGTGAGAAGCACTGCAGAGCTGTGCAGGCATCTGCACCCCAGAGAGGAACTGTGCGATCCGAGAGAGAATCCACTCTTACAGCGTCTGAAAGGGGAGAAACTCGAGCCCCGGGCCCCTGTGTGTGTCCACCCAAACTGAATCCACTGAATGTCTATCAGCTTGGTGTAAACAGCTTTACACCCAAAGCCAGTGACATTTCCAGAAGGAACAGTTCAGATCTCCCCAAACCAGCGGAATATCCCGCAGTTTCTGGTCTCTCTGGATGCCGGAGGCGGCACTGCTTTCGCAAGAACGTTTTCCTAAAAGGGGGAGTTTTGACGGATAAAAGCCATTTGAGTAAAAACCTGCCATGTTTCAGGTTCTGCAAAACACAGAATGACTTTGGAGCTTGAAGTACGTGAGTGGAGTCTGCTGGAAAAAGTGACTCGTTTGAGCTGAAATGTCTCGGGCAGCAGGTTCCCCCCAGCTCTGGTGTGGGTGTGGGTGATGCAGTGAGTGCAGACAGATGCTGCAGCACTTCCCTGGAAGCTGCGTGTTCGGGAACTGAACAGGCACAGGGTGCGGAGCGGGGCCTTTCCCGCTGCTCCCGGGGAACGCACTCAACAAACCCTCGGTGCTGCGGGGAAAGGCGTCACTGCGTCCCACTGTCTTCTCCAGACAGCTGCAGCACACCTGGAGGAATTTGGAAACACGGAGAGGCCCAGGCACGGGGCACACGGGATGAAACCGCAGCTCCATCCCGGGTGCCTGGAGTGATCCCAGTGAACAGCCTTCCCCGTCCCTGCTGGGATCGGCTCCATTGCTCGCGGCACTTCAACCGGCTTAGGGGATTGATTAAAAAGAAAGGCATTAGAAAGTGTTCTCTTTAACTGGCAAAGAATCGTGGAAATGGTTCCAGGGGCAGAGGTGCTTTCGCTGGCACAGCGCGTTGCTGTCGCTGGCGGTAACGCCGAGCTTTGCCAGCGCGGGGAGTTTCCCGAGAACATCCTGGCACAAGTTTGACAGAAGTGACACTCGTCCAACCGGGACCGCCCGCCCTCCTCCGCCGGCACCGCGGGGGAGCCTTGCTCCTTCCGCCTGTGTTTACTGTCAGCTTCGCTTTCAGGTTTGTGTGCGCTTGTAAAAAAAACTGTTGAATTTCAAACTGAAATTCAGCTTGCCCCGACTACCAGCGCGGCAGCTGCAAAGCACAGCGGTTTGGACGGAGGGTTTTCCATGAGGAGCGCTGGATGGACGTGGAGCCGGACCCGGTCAGGCCGGTTCCCGCAGGAACTCGGCGATGCCTCTGCCGGGCCCGTGGCTGCGGAACGCCCCGGCTGTCCCGCGCTGCGGCCCCGGCGGGAGCGGCTCGCGGGGAGCCCCGCAGGCACCGCGCCGGCCCTCGGGGCGGGGGAGCGCAGCGCGGCCGGGCCGGTCTCGGTGCCCCCGTGTCCTGTCCTTGTTCCCTCCCGTGTCCCCCCCTGTTTCCCCCCCGTCCCCCCCGCGCTCAAGGTGCGGGGCCGGGTGCGGGGGGGTCTCCGGGGGTGCCGAGCGCGCACGCGCCGCCCCGCGCGCGCCCCCCGCGCGGCCCCCGCCCGGCCTGCGTGGCAGCGGCGGCGCGCGCGGCCCGGCGGGCGGCGCGTGCGCGGGAGCGCGGGGCGGGCGCGCGCCGAGAAGTTGGGTGCGGGACGCGGCGCCGCTCGCTCGGTCTGAGGGGATCCCGCCCGGCCCGAGGGGATCCCGCCCGGCCCCGCCACCGCCCCGCCGGCCGCAGGTGAGCGCGGGGGGCCGCTCCGCCGGGCCGGGCTCGCCGGGCAGCCCCGGCCGGGCCGGGCCGCAGCGCCGGGCGCGGGTGGGCGGGGGAGGCCCGGGCGGGAGCGGGAGCGGGAGCGGGAGCGGGGGGTCCGGGCCGCGGGGCCCACACGTGCCCGGGCGGCGGCGGGAAGGGCCGGGAACGGCCCCGCTCCCGCAGGACGGGGATCCGCCGGCCGGGCCGCCCGGGCAAAGTTAGGAGCGCGATACGGACACGGGTGTTGGCGCGGGTCGGTGTCGCTCGGAGGCTTTGGGGAGGTTTGGGGGTTGGTTCCATTTTCGCCTCTCCGAGCACACGCGCCCCGGCCGAGCCGTGCGCGGCCCCCTGCCCCGCCGAGCTGCCCCCGCAGCCCGGGATGTGCCGGTCCCCGGTTCGTGTCCTCGGGGAGACTGCGGGAGCTCCGGGGGCTGGCGGAGACACCCCCGGGAGGCCCCGAGACCCTGCCCGGCTGCCTCTGGCAGGCGTGTCCTGAGCCCGCGGCTCCCCGGGTGCCGTACCTGCTGTGCCTCAGGAGATGGGAGCTGCGGGGATTGCACACATGGCTCTGGAGAGAGCACATGCTGGAGCTCAACTAGGAAATACCATCTTTCCCCCCCAGCATGTGCCTCCCTCCAAAGTGTGATTTATGCTTGTTTAGAGTAGCGGTGGATCTCTGAGCCCATCTGTTTGTCTGCCTGTTCACGCACATGGAATCTCTCTGCCTATGGTGATTGCCTATGGCGTTATTGCAGGAGAAGTAGTTTGGTAGGAAATATTGTAGCAATTACAAGTCCAGTGATGCGAGTTCCTGACACATTGTGACTGTCTTGCTGTCAGTTCTGTGTCTCCTTTTAAAGTTCATTTTTTGTGAATCACTGTAAGTAACCGTTTAACTTCTGCAGCATTTCTTCAGCTTTTACATTTGAGACGTCTCTTGACATTGCGTCAAACTCTTTCCACTGTTATTTTTTTCCTGTTGACGTTTTTTGTGACAGTCATATTCTGTTAAGCAACAACGAAAAAAGAAGGAACTCCTTTTAGATAAGGGTGTTGCTGCCCGTTTCCTCTGGCTCTGAGCCTTAGAGACCTAGAAAAAAAAGGGGCTGTGAGGAACTTTTATTATGATGGAAAAAGAGCATTTTCTGTGGGAAGTGAGGTTTCTAGACGGAGCGTGAGTGACTGCTGTCACCCCAAAGGAATTGTCAGAGCAGAGCCAGCCTTTTGCTTTCCTAACACCTGTGATGTGTGACGCTTCTGCTTGTTTCGTTTTCCCCTCCTTCCTCTGGAATTCTGTTTCTTGACAAATAGGTGTTTTATGAGAGAGAACAGGCGTAATTGGAATGTGAGTTTTAATGTACCTTTTCAAATTCTTCACTGTTCATTTTGTTGGGCAAAGAGCAGCTGAAGATGAATAACTTGGACTCCAAGCCCATTCTGGGAAACAGGTTTTTTTGGCTGTACTTGCCTTCTGTGATCCTGCCCGAAAAGTTTTATGTCAATCTATAACACTGAAATGTACGTTGAAAATGTTGAGCCTACACTGGCTTTTCTCACTTCATGTAGTAATGGAGTCTGTACTGGAGAAAACGGGGAGATTCTGAGATTTCCTGTGCTTTGGGGCTTTATTCACTCCTACCTGTTGTTCTGAAGGACTCTGGCAATGGCTTGAAAGAGTTTTTTGTGTACTGAATGAGCTGTTGCTTTCTCAGAGTAAAAAAGACTCCCCATATTTTTGTTTGTACAGGGATAAGAGCCAGAAATGCCCTGTGGGTTTTCCTCCTGCTCTCCCTTCCTAGCTGTAAAATGGGGTGGTTACCAGCAAGTCCCCCTCCTGTGCACCTGCAGCTTTCTAGATGTGTAAAAGACTAATTAGTGGATGTATTTTAACATCTCCTCCTCCTTTACACAGTGCCAAATACATTTAAGCTCAGGGATATGAGAAATGTATCCCAACAACCAAGCTGGCAGTACAGACCAGCCCCCAGGGCTGCTGCAGCCAGAGCTGGGGCAGGAGGGAGAAATCAAATGTGTTCAGTCCGAATTTAAAGCAGGAAAATGGACTGTCCCAGAGGAGCAGAGGAAGATTTCACAAATGAAATGACAAATGTGGGAATCAGTGAGACCTTTGGGGCTTGTAGGGCTTTTGCTCTGTCCTAAATGAAAGCCTAGTTGGGATGCAGTCCTTACGGAAAATGAATTTAACAGCCCAACTTGTGCTTTAGTTTTTGTCACTCTAATTAGCTTTTCTTAGATGTTCTTGTTGCAGAAGAGGTTGTTCATGGCGATCTCCAGCAAATGAGAACAATAAGTGCATGGAACTTCATTTTAGAAGCTGGGCTCATCATCACCACTGAATGATTGTGTTTCTAATTGCAACTCCCACAGTTTTGCTACAGTTCAACCCTTGTACAGACAGACAGTGCTCATGGTTCTCTATGGTTTGAGCACAGAATTGTGATTGAGGAAGTCATGAACAGCCATTCTGCCCGTGACACGCACTCCTGCATTTCTGTGGTAAACTCACTTAACCAGTTGTTTTACCTTTTATGGGAACACGGTGACTAACTCAGTGTGGACCTCTCCAGGTGCTTGACTGGGTTGTTTGTGGTATTTGGCCAGAAAAGGATGACCCACTGTGGCCCTGGTTCCAGGGCAGGCTCGGACAGAGGAGGCTCACACGTGTCTGTGCTGCACTCCTGGACTGGGCAGGACGGCCTTTCCCAGCACAAAACCAGTTAAAGGTTGTCCAAAATGGGCAGAATGAACACTTTGTCCTGTTGAAGGCCTCGAAGGTAGCTCTCTCTGTTGCTGGATGCTGTTAATGCTGTGTTTATGGTGCTCACCCTGCCTGTGCAAAGCTTTCAGTAGCAGCACTCGGCAGTGCTCAGCAGGTTCCGTGGGCGTTTGCGCCGTGGGCCTGTGGGTGCTCAGGAGATAAGTGCAGGTTATCTGGGGCTGAGGGAACACGGGTTTGGTGTGTCAGCAGCTCGCCCCACACTCTGGGTGCTCCCAGGCTGGAGGAGCAGTGTGTGTGTGTGTGCCCAGGCTGTGTCCTTGCCTTTCCCCAGAGGGGACTGGCACACGGGGAGCTCGGAGGCTGCTGAGCTGCAGGGACGGGCTGTGTGCTGGGGGAACCCCATGGACCCTCCCCTGGTGCTCTGGGGGCTGCACAGCACGTTGGGTGTGATGGCGTGGAAGGGGTCTCTTCAGGGGTGAACTCCATGCCCACTGTAGAGCTGTGTCTGCAGAGGAAAATGAGGAAAAAGCAGAGTCTCTAGGAGGGAGAGAGTGTGTTCAAACTGAGAGGTGGTGGTGGTATTTTTCCTTTTGAAGAAAAAAACCCAGAAGCCAGAACATTTGCATGTAAAGTCTAGATTTAGGTCTTCGGGACTTTAAAGTCACAGTGGGTTTTTTCCCAATAGATTGGAATTGCTGCAGTGTGTCTAAATTACATAGAAAATGAACCTGTATAAAATACGCTTAAAAAATGTCCTTGCAGGTTTGGGGGTGTGTGGAGGTGTGTGTGTTTGTGCAGCCAGGCTGGGAGCTGCTGCCTTTAGCTGGCTGAAATGTAGGACAGGGAGGACCAAGGAGGTTCTCTGTATGGAACCAGGTGGCCATTCTAGAGCTTGTAAGCGAAGCTTTGTTTAAAAACAGAAGAGCGCAGGGAGTTATTTTCATAGTGAATTGAATGCAGAAGTCTGTAATGCTGTCAGCTCCTTTTTGTGGGTAGATAGGTCTTTTTCTATCTTGCCTTATTTTTTATATACATATTGGATTGGATCAAGATGACTTCAAGTTCTAACCTGTGCTAAGTATTTCAACATCTGGACTCGCTGTAAGCAGCGTTGCTGTCCAGGCATGAGAATTCTCTTGGATCGTTTTTTAACATTTTAAAATATTTCAGAAAAAAGTATTTTTTTTTTATTCAGTTAAAAATTACATGTGGCTTCCAGTGTTTAGTCTTGTGACATGGCTTATTACATGGCATGATGCAATAAATTGCAAATAGTTTTATGGTTTCAGTACAATTAAAGAAATTAAATTTCTAAATTGTTTACTTCAGCTTGGTGCTACTTTAAGTGTCTGCTCTCAGAGATTCCAGGCAGTGAACAGCTGTCTGTCGCAGATGGGAGAGGAAAAAAACCTTCCCCTTAGCTTCTTACTCCTAAAAAGGTTTGCATATAAACCCAGTAGTAATGTAATACAACCTTTTAGTCAAATTTGAGTTTCCTGTTACACTTTAAGTGAAGCGACAGCAGAGTCGTATCTATTTGAAACCAAATGGTGTAAGCGAATGCGACTCGAGGAATTTTGGGCTCCAAAGCGTTCTTGAAACCTCACAGATGCTGGTTGAGCAGTCGGAATGCATTATTTATTGCATCTCAAAAGAAAAAAAAGCCTTGCATGTAGTTCATGACTCCTGTTGTGTGCTGTGTTTTGGGAAGATCAGGAGGTATTGTCTGTCCTGTGCTTGTACTGGAAATCAGGTCGTGTAGAAACTCTCAAGGAAACAAGCAGGTAATCCACATTTTTAATAGAGTCTGGGTGCAATGAAGTCTGAAAAAGAGCAGGTTTGGGGCTGAGTGTTTTCTGCTGAGATCTCAGTGTGGCAGGAGTGGAGTTTGTGCTCAGAACTGCACAAAGTTTGAGACTGTGAATTGGATGTGCTGGTTTATTGCTCCATGAGCTAATTCACCATGGCAATTATAAAACTTATTAAAATAGTTATGACATGCCTGATCACAAAGCGCAGGAGTGGGAAGATCGTTCTTTCTAAATGAAGGAGTTGTTGCTGCTGGCATCCAGCTTTTCCCCTTATGGTGGTTTCCTTTCTATCTTTTTTTTTTTTTTTAATCCCTCTGGACTATTAACAGGCATTTTACAGTCCCCAGGCATTTCTTAAAGTTTTTGTGCTTATTGGCTTTGGGTAACTTTGTTCTCCAGTTCTGGACTCCGACCTTTGTATTGTGCCTGACGTG